CAAACAAAGACACCTTTGTCTAACCTAAAGCTCCTAAAAGAGCTCCTAAACTGTACTTGAGAAGTGCATATATATTAACAGAAAAAAGTATTGAGTCTGCTCCTAACATTGTAGGGAATAGGAAAGTTCCAGAAAAGAATTATCATTGTTTCCAATAGTCAGATTACATTACACCAGGAATTTAACAATTTGTAAACATCTAGAGCAAAAATTAGCTAGAGTCTCGTCTTCAAAACACCTGCAGTACAGTACCTTGGCGATTCTAGGTCCCTCATATTAGTGTTGTCAAAGGAAAAAACTTTAAAAAGCGCTCTAGATCTCTTGCCGATTCTAGGTCCCTCTAGATCTGTTGACAGAGGCGGATCTACAATTCTACATTCTACACAGAGGCTCGGGTGTCACGAGAAGTCGTTAGCCTACATACTTTAGAGCCCGTTTGGCTCAATTGATGTGATAAACATTTTCAGCACCTAAAGTTAATTTAAAAATAAGGACTTACCTTTTTGGATAAAAGTATTAAAATTAACAATAAACAACTGAAGTATTGAGTATGCGAAGAGTTTTGTTTTAAAAATAAGTATTTTAGGGATATAATAGTAAATATTTTGGTCAAACCTAAAGTACTTATAAGCTGAAATTTGATAAGTTTTGGGAGACCAACTTTTGGCTTATTTTTAGCTTATAAGCACTTAACTTATAAGCACTTTTAATTTTACCAAATGCGTAGATAAACCAAAAAGTGCTTATAAGCCAGTTTGACCAGCTTATAAGCTTAGCCAAACAACCTCTTAGTAACCCGTTAAATAATTTTCTTGGCCCCCTCAATGACTAAATGCGGGCTGGAGCGATGATCTTTTGTGTTGCATGAGTTCCGTCACTTAGTTGACGTCTCGGGTACGAAGCCAGCTCCTGTAAATTCGCCTTTTTAGTTGTTTTCCTTTTTGTTTTACTTTATATAATAATGGGGAATATGTTCTAGTACTATTGTACAACACTATATAATAGTTGATTGATTTATATTTTTTATTTTTTTTAATCTGAATTTAATTATTGTAATAGTTGTACATAATAGTCAACTTCATTATTTTATTCTTTTCAAAAATCCTACCCCCAAAATCAAAAACTCCAAGAGGCCAAAATTCAAAATCGTCGCTCCTCGCTCCAAAATAGAGCCCTTCTTCCTTAATTCCTCTCATTACTTTGAAAAAGTAGCAGACATCAAATCTTTGGTTAGTGTTGCTCCTACTTTGAAATTTATTTTTTATTTATAAGAGCATGAATAATTGGAGATTGAGATTATAAAATTTTATTTAGGTTCAAGTTTTTGGTTCAACAATTGCCAGCAAAGGCATTCTTAATAAACTCTAAATCTATTATTCAAATAATTTTGTTGAGCTCCCATTTTTTCTGAAACGGAGTGGTCCCTTGATTTATAGGCTATATTTTTTTCATGGATTTTGATTTATAACATGTTTGAAAATTAGATAACTCTTAAAAAAGTTGCACTGTCCATAATGTGATTAACTTTTGGAATATAGCGTATAGGTAATACTATTATTGAATATCACTATGCATTATTAATGTTGTGTGATTTTCGAATATAACTCTATTTAGCATGTTTCTTAATGTGTTGGCTTGTTCCTATTATATTCTCTGTTTCATGTTTCACTTATCCAAGAGTTACTTAATAATTGTAGTATTTGCTTTATTCTTGATAAAAGGGTTGTGTCTCTTCTATTGATGTTGTGTTTGCTTGTATTCTTAATGGACTCTTAAATTTATCGAACCCGTTATTTTGTAGGAAGTTTTTGTTCTTGTGAATTAACATGGATGTATTTTCGACGAAGTTTAATTCTTATTGAAAATTTATTCCAATTTAGTCCATGTGTGCGCATGGATGTGCAGGAAAACGTATTTATTTATTAGAAAGCTTATTTTAAAATTTGTATTCGCAGGTCAATTGGGAAGTCTTGATGAAATCAAAGCGTAAGCTCTTACTTTATTTTTGCCTTTTGCTTAGCAAATTTATATTATATAGTGAATTATGCTACTTATTTGGTCTATCCTAGAGTTAATATGTATTCTTTTATTGGCTAATAAAGTTTTGGGTAAGTCACTCTAATGGTAGTGGTGCCCCCGTCATATTAAAATTCTGGGTCCGCCTCTATCTGTTGGGGTTTTAAGTGCAAAGCGCAGTTAAAGTATGGGCTTTAGTAAAAAAAAAAGATGCAATGAGGAAAAATAAAAATATATTTGTAATGCAAGAAAAAAGTTACAAAATCATTCATAGCGTTTTCTTTAACAATTATTATATCTCTTTGCTGATTATATTTTTATTGTTTATTAATGCTTTATTGTTTATATTTTTATTTTATCTGATTATGGAGTTACACCAAGGATATGCACTCAGCCCATTCTTATTTACTCTGGTGATGGACACAATGACACACCATATTTAAGGGGAGGTGTCATGGTGTATGTTATTCGCGGATGACATAGTTCTGACTAACGAGACGCGGAGCGGCGTTAACGAGAAGTTGGAGGTTTAGAGACAGGCCGTTGAATCTAAGGGTTTCAAATTGAGCAAGACGAAGACGGAATATCTTGAGTGCAAGTTTAGTACCGAGTCTAGGGACGCAGGCATGGACGTGAGGCTTGGATCGCAGGTCATTCCCAAGAGAGGCAGTTTCAAGTACCTTGGGTCGGTTATCAAGGGGATGGGGAGATCGACGAGGATGTCACACACCGCATAGGATTGGGTGGATGAAATGGAGGTTAGCATCTAGAGCCCTGTGTGACAAGAAAGTGCCATCGCTTCTCAAATGTATGTTTTATAGAGCGGTGGTTAGACTGACCATGTTGTATGGGGCTGAGTGTTGGCCAGTTCAGAACTCGCATATCCATGAGATGAAAGTAGCAGAAATGAGGATGTTGAGGTGGATGTGCGGACACACTAGGATGGATAAGATTATGAATGAAGGTATTCGGGAAAAGGTGGGTGTGGCTCCCATGGATGACAAGATGCGGGAAGCGAGGCTCAGATGGTTCAGACACATGAAAAGAAGCCCAGATGCCCCGGTAAGGAGGTGCAAGCAGCTGGCGTTGGTATATACGAGGAGGGGTAGAGGACGACCTAAGAATTATTGGGGAGAGATGATCATGCAGGATTTGGCGAGGCTTCATATCTCTAAGGATATGGCCCTCGATAGGAACCTATGGAGGTCGAACATTAAGGTTGTAGATTAGGAGGTAATTGAGCATATTTCTAACTCGTACCAGTGTGAGACTAGGCAATTTTGTCTTAGACTGCTAGTGGTCAATGTTGTGTTCACACTACTCTTCCATTTTCATAGTGTCAGGCCTTATTTACTGGTTATTATTTTTGCTTTCCATCTATTTATTGGTTCTTGTGATGTTGTTATTTCTATGGTTTTTATTGATGATACTGATATATTATCTCTTTCTTGAGTCGAGGGTCTATCAGAAACAACCTCTGTACCCCCTCGGGGTAGAGGTAAGGTTTACGTACACACTATCCTCCCCAGACCCCACTTGTGAGATTTTACTGGATCGTTGTTATATTAATGCTTGATTCAACGTAGGATACGTGGCCTATAAGGGGTACACCTTAATGCCTTGCCTACACTGAAGCGTAGTTTAAGCGAGGCGAAGCGTCCTCCTTGAGCTTTTTTGAGCTTCAGGGCTTAAGCGCGTTTAAATGAGCCTTTGATATTAGACACTTACTGAACAGATTCTAATCTCTTTTCAGCGAAATTTGTGTGATGAAAGCTTCCTGAAGGGAAATCCATTCAAACATGCTGCTCTAGTAGGTGCCTTAGTTATGCATTCTATCTTCCATGGACGTTCTATATTTTATGTTATCCTCTCTGCTTAAACTTTTATTGCAGGACTCACTATAAATTTTCCCATCTCTATTCTCTACTTGCTTTACATTTTATATTGCCAGGGATCTTCGATACTTCACTTCTCCGATCATACTAAGTAGTTCTGCCACTCTATCAACCTCCCAGTCAATCATCCTTGCAGTCTGCAATCGCTTCCTCCTGATTCAGCACTAGTGGGTACTTATGTAAGAGAGGTGAGCTTCAAAGGTTGATGATTAATTCAACCATCTTGCCACATTCTTATCTTCCTTCCATCACCTACTTGTAGTTGACCTTTTGTTGAAAATCTCCTCAAAAGACTGCTTAGATGCTTCCATAGACCCACCCCGCTGAGCAGGTTCCAGTACTCCAAAAACCACAGATACATATTTTATCACATTTTGATCTCTTTCCACAAAGTCTAGTTGCTCATCGTCAAACCCCTATAGCCATTTTAAGGGTATACTTTAGGTAATTTCAGATATTTTACTCCCAAGCCTAACCATTGTAATAATCCAAAATATTTTTTTTTAAATACTTATTAATTGTGAAACTAGAAAATTAATTTTTATTTATAGTTATTGAGTCAAATATTAAGCTAATTGAGGAAACTTACTACTCCTATAATTGTATACAATAGTGTACAAGTAAATTTTCTGGTGGGCCTAGCCCTATTCTGAAGTAAAAATAGCACGGTCTAGTCAGTTTTCGGACTGATCATTCAAAAATAGTCAGCATTTACCAAGTCAATAAAAAATAGCCACTATTTTGCTGCAACAGAGACCAGTCTATCATAATAAGAGTTCGGTACACCTGTGTATGAACTTACAACATATTATGCTGGACTGGTATACTTTGCTGACTTCACTATAATATACTGGAAACTGGAGCCCGGTGCTCCAAACTCCAGTATACTATGCTGGAGTATTTTTCGGATTTTGAACAGTGTTTTCGTTCAAATTTATCTTTACATGAAAAGTGGCTAAATTTCGATTACTTTTAAAATTGGGCTATTTTTAAATAATCATTTGTAAATCTGGCTATTTTTAAATTTCTTCCCTACTGTGAAAGGTCATGTGTCAGATTGACCTTAGAGGATATAAGTGTTAGGTCTGTTCATCATTAGGAATAAAACAAAAAAAAGAAAAGAAAAAAAAAGGAGGACTTCAGAAGAAAACTGACGCGGCAGCGTAAACGAGCTCAAATTGTGGTGTCATTTCTGACGAAGCCAAGGAAGGGAATAAACTTGTAGGCTTCAGGTATGTGTAGTGATTTTGGTAAGGATTTTGAATAGAATTTTTTAAAGTAATAATTAAGGGATTAGGGATATGTTTCGTTGCATAGTTTTTAAGAAAAGAATTACTGACTTCTACTACTACAAAGTCTAGATTTTTAGGGCACCAAATTGGACTTTCAGTGATTAATTAATGATTAGCCCATAATTTATAGATAAAGTAATGATGATTCAATGATTAGAATGGTTTATAATGAGATTGGGTAAATTAAGGCATTGTAATGCATTCTACAGCTGCATTGCTGCGGCATTCATGTTCTGTCGTCTGCTAATTTGTACAGATTTTTAGTAATTGGACCAGGGGTTTACTTTGATTTTGACTTGTTCAAAGATTATGAAAATTATTCACCTAGATTAATTAGGAAGTGTTATTCAATATTTTGAATGAAGCCATTGGAGGCAGTTTGGTTAGTGTTCTAGGCATTGCAAGATTGGGGAATTTTCCTTTAAGCTTTGATGCTTGTTTTTTTAAAATACATTTTGGAAGTATGTTTTTTTCTACCTGGTCCATGTGTTGGAACGAGCATGTACTTGGCAAAATCGGTGGTCTTTGGCCAGCTGCAAATATATATTATTTTGTAAAAAATTAAAATTATTTAATAAGTGATTTATAGTGTAGGTGTGATATGGCGTAGCCTTGTGCTATGGCGTTGGAGCGTTAGAAATTATTTCTTCGCTGCCGTAATATATTTGAGGCATTGTGTATACCGCCGTAATAGATTTTGGGGCATTGTGTATGCCGCCGGTATATATTTGGGGCATTGTGTATGCCGCCGTGATAGATTTGGGGCATTGTGTATGCCGCCGTGATAGATTTGGGACATTGTGTATGCCGCCGTGATAGATTTGGGGAATTGTGTATGCTATCGTGGACTTGTTGGGGTCAGGGGCGAAGCCACCTTTTACAAAGAGTGGTCTCACCGAAATATTACGAAAAATTACACTGTGTATATAAGTAAAATACTGATTTTAGATGTATAAAATATATATTGAACACCCTTTGTCGGGAATTTCTTTTTAGTTCTTTCAAGTTTGAACACCCTTGGAAACATTTCTGGCTTCACCACTGATTGGGTTGTTTGGTTAATTTCCTACACTGTCGTTAATGACAAGTCCTTAGTGTATATTGTGTTGAGATATATGTAGTATTGTTGTTGAATAATTATTTGGACCTTATAGAGTAATTATATTATAAAAGAATTTCTGTGCATATTATATGTGTGCTCATTGTGTGTTTGTATTTTCTAACACTTGTTCCAGAGGTATTCAGAGTGGCGGGTCGAAGATCTTACTGGGTTATATTTACGTATAACTCACTCCTTACTTGCATGTCCATGCAGATACTATTGATGAAGACGAAGCTAGTAGCCGATGAGTTCGCTAGAGTTGATCCAGTTATTGAGGTGAGCCGCCACATTATTCGTGGAGGCTGCCCAAAGAGTGTTTATGATTTATTTATATGAGAGCTTTTGTAATTATCTTAGATGCTCCATGGTCTAGTGTGAGATTTGGGCTAGAGTTTTAATCTAATATTTTGAGATATTAATTGTTCGTAATAGTTATCAGATTATTTGGGTACTCATTTAATTAATCAAATGCTGCAAATTAATGGCTAAGGTAAGTAAGTATAGTTCGCCCGACATGTGGTATTAGCTGGGTGCCAGTCACGTCTAGGGGTAGTTTAGGACGTGACAACCACCTCCTAGGTGTTATTATTCTAGACCATTTTATTCTACTGGACATCTTATTTTAGTTGCTTTTGCATAAGAAGTACTCCCTCTGTTTCAATTTATGTGAACCTATTTCCTTTTTAGTCCGTTCCAAAAAAAATGACCTCTTTCTAAATCTGAGAACGATTTAGCTTAAACTTACAATTCTACCCTTAAGGAGAAGCTTTTATAACCACACAAGTACTCTGGGCCCCTTTTTGACTTGTTTAGGACCACAAATTCTAAAAGTCTTCATTTTTTTAAACTCTATGCCCAGTCAAACAGATTCACATAAATTAGAACGGAGGGAGTACGTCATTAACTTTGTTCAGTCGTTTGACAATTTTTTGGGGAATGTGGTGCAGTGACATATAGATAGTGGAGCATCAAGAAGTTCTTAACACTAGAACAACTTAACAGTTCTCTTCCGTAATAAAAAAGAAAATTAGTAGTTTTCTTACGCAAATTGAACTCGCGCTATCTATGGACAATGGAGTGGAGTGACTATTCTTATCAATCCTTTTCCTATATCCTCCTTTTTGGCATTGGTCTACTATGGGCTGACTTGACTGAGCATTGTCATTAAAATATATTGCTTCACATTAGTCAAGTATAGACCTCAACTCTGCTATAGCATATATGTTACTATCGTAAGTCATTGTGCTGTCAAAAAGTACTTGAGCTCCATCATTTCCACCCTACCGTCCTCACATAAGATGCAAATAGTCGGTCACCCACCTTCCAACAATAAGGGAGCCTTATAAAAGGGATAAATTATAGCTCTACCTGTTTCGTCCACCTCTCAAAAATGAAGGGGACACTTCTGAGGTGAAAAGTACTTACTTCCTCTGTTCCAATTCATGTGGTATTCTTTTCTTTTTAGTCAGTTCCAAAAAGAATGACAAGTTTCTATATTTAGTAATAATTTAGCTCTAAACTTTCCATTTTATCATTTATAAGATGATTTATAGCCACAGAAATTTCTTTGGCTTGTTTTAAACCACCAGTTTCAAAAGTTTTTCTTTCTTTCTTAAACTTTGTGCCCCGTCATACACCAACACATAAATTGGGATGGAGAAGTATCAAATTTCCTATACTAAAGGCCAAATCTCTAATCAAAATGCAGTTAACACCCCCTTCCCACTGCAATTGTTCACACCATTCACCAAATACATGATATCTACATGCAAATTCAGAATTTTAAGCTTATGGGTTCCTACAACAATCTCAAGTTAATCTAAATGATAATTGGATCAACGAACTGAGTTCCAAGCTAAATATTCTTATACTTTTAATAAATTTTTTAATACAAATACAGAGTTTATGCAAAAGTTACTGGGTTCACGGGAACCCGTATCCTTTTCTCTGGATCCGTCCTTGTCTACATGTCCAGCAATTTTTCTACTTCCCAATATTTCCTTCGATATAAATAACTAAATATGTGTGGAGCCACTGTGCTTTTATAGGCTTTTCAATTGTCAAACAACATCAGATCATATTTTCTTAAAACTGTGACATTTAGAAGACTACAATTATGGGTCAAAGGAAGTAAAAGTTGAAACTCCTTCTACAAGTTGCAAAATGAAACATCAAGTACTTTTTTCAGCTTCCTCAAATTAGCACTTCTCGTTCTTGCTTCTGCTCGTCATTCCATCTGACAGGATTCCCCATCGAATTTATTTGGAATTTGACGAATTTTTACATCAGCTTTCCATCCAACAGAAGAAATTCTTCAGATAGTTATGGTAAAAAAAAGGGACAGCCCGGTGCACTAACTTCCCTCTATGCACGGAGTCCGGAGATCTACATCTATTTAACAATGATGTTTAGGACTGATAATCTAATTCTCATACCTCAAACCTATATCCTAATATCCCCACTAAAACTAAAGTCTCCCTAACAAAGAGGCCTTAAACCCATTAGTGAATGGCATTATTCAGTTGCTTGTCCAGTTATAGCAATCCCAACTAGGTACCTCAAGAAAACTAAATGGGTACATCATAACAATTGACCGGATGTTCCAACAATTAAAATGATCTCATTGGTTTACCAAGATCCTTTATTTACAAATATATACTCTCCCTTGATAAGTATTTCTCCCTAGTAAAAACTAATCCACATTTACAGAACCAAAGGTAGCAAAAAGAGATCATCATAACAGCTTCTGTACTAAAGAAAGACTAATAATAAAAACTCCATAAATGTACAGAGCATTATCAG